AAATCAGAGCTTTCAACTTCCAATTCAACTTGTACGCAGATATAACTCACCAAAGAAGATTAAAGCTCGTATCTTAAAGAGAAAAAGGGACTCACTAGTTCTTTGAGCTGGCAAACTTCGCAGTTCATAGCGATTGCCGACGGCACAAATAGGAAAAAGGGAGTCGATTGTCGAAAACCGCATAGGAAAATGATCCGGACTAGATTAGGGTTGCAAACGAGCCGAGCCAAACCTTATCGAGTAAGATTGATTTTTCTTTTAGCTCGTCGAACTCGATTTTTTAGGCTCGAGCTTAATTCGATAAAAAAATTACAACGAGCTCGAGCTCGACTCGAAATCAAAATGCTCGAGCTCGACTCGAAAATTTGTAAGTCGAAAGATAAAAATCATTAACGACCTATGCTAACATATATATAAGAGTATAAGAGGTATTTTAGTATTTTTACTTATATTTCGAGCTGCTCGACAAGGCAATATGGGCTCGAGCTCGAGTCGAGCACTCGCGAGGAACTCGCGAACTACTCGGTTCGTTTGCAGCCCTAATCCCTACTAATAAAGGTCAATTTAGAAGTTTTTCCTTTCATCCTAACATCTTTCTTATTACATGTTATTAAGCAATATTTTCAACACATTTATATTTATGTAATATATATAGTAGTACCTATTATGAGGTTAATTAAATAATTGGTTAATTAAAATTATATACATACTTTTTTGCTCGTAAATGTACACAAAAAAATAAAAAATAAATTATAACTGAAATTATACTTTACAATCTTATTGGATATTTGCATTTTCATCATGGGTATATTACGATTTTGGCGCATCACTATATAAATTTTTTTTTACAAACCACCACTTCAACTATATGAGTTTGTCACAGTGCCCCTAAACCGAAAATAAAAATGGTTTTGACTAAAAAAAATGTTTTAAGGACAATTCAGGAATTGCATAGATTGTTTATTTAAAAAAGAAAAATGAAAAAAAAGAAACAAAAGAATCGTGACCGGTGGAGAATCTGGACACGTTGGAGAATCTGGACACGTAGGGATTAACAACTGTTCCAACATAATTATCAAAAATAGAACATCATCAACAGTTTTACATTTCTATACAATTCAAGAATTTTATCAAATCGAATTAGTCGGTTTCCCTGTGGATCCGGAAACCGGAAGGTCCCTGTACCAAAAAAAAAAAAAAGAATTTTACCAAACAAAATCATAAACTAAGAAAATTTGAACCTTCACCAATCACAACATGTTGTTGGTTCTCTGTGGAAGCGGCCGAAAAAAGTTTACTGCCGCCGGCGGCAGCCTCCCCCGAAACCTCGGGTGCCTAATAACATGCATTCCCGACAAAACATCTGCCAGCTCGAACTCGAAGGGTACAAGGCACCAGCTGTCACAACACATAACATCATGAATATAACGGTCGTCTGCGCGTCCCGCAAGCTCAGCACCGCGTGGACTCTCTCCCCCTGTGCCGCCACGTCACCCACCACCGTATGCACCTATCCGGCCACGGTCCTCAACTGATCGTGCCTCATCCGAACCAGCTCACCGGTCGAACTTGAGGGTGTTGAAGCGTGCCGCTGGCCGATAAGGAATGTTTCGTGTCCCGTAAAAAACGAAGAAACAAAGTACTCGTCGTGGTGGTTTGATTGGTGATATGATTATTTACACAAATTTTTTTTGTGCCCGCTCTCAAGACATCAAAGTCATTTTCTGTAGTTGTCAATAGTAAGAAAAAAAAAAAATATATTATTTATTAAATATCAAACATTATATAATTCCTGTTTATGATGTATTTTATGATTATGCTGCTACTTTTTAAGTTGGTGCATGTACACGAATTTAAATTTTTTTGAGAAAAAAAATATTTTACAAAGATGATAGTGTTTTGAACTTATTATCACATTTTATAGAATGTTCTCTTTTTTTTTTTTTTTGGTACAAAGAAGGAGGCCAGCGGCCTATACTAGAACTCGCCGGGGATACGCCACCCCAATGTTATCATGCTGGAGCCATTCACCCAACCCTAACGGAGGAAGAGAGAAACGGTGTAAACCGATCGGGTAGGAGGCTGCCATGCTCGCCAAATGATCCGCAACGAAATTAGCTTCCCTATGGACATGCTGAAGGTGCACAGACCATTCTCGTTTGAGAAGTTCTTGGATGGCTCGGACCATAGTCTCATGATTCCCCAAAGACCCGTCCACTTGAGCTATCATTTGCGTGACACATTGACCATTTTATAGAATGTTCTCTATTCACACATATAAGTTCTTTTAGTAAGAATATTTTGAAACTATTGAGATTTATTTTGGATTAAGTTGATTATCGGATATGCACATAAATTCTATATATATATTCATTTTCTTTTATTTTTTGTATAAAAGTTTATTATATATCAATTAAAATTCTATATATATATTCATTTTCTTTTATTTTTTGTATAAAAGTTTATTATATATCGATTAAAATATAAAACTGTTATATTTAATATTTGAAAATTATATACTATTACTGTTTTAGTTTAATGTTTGAAAATCAATTTCTATACTTTTGTGTTAAGTCGTTAGATTGTATTTGTATTAGATCGTGTGAGATCGTACTTAGATTGGTGGAATTGATTGTTGGAATTGATTGTTTTAGATGACTGGTTAGATTACTGCTGTATTGTTCTTCAAATTTGGATTGTGACATATCATTCTTAATTATTAGTTACCGTTAGAATTTATATATTTTTTTTTTAAATATATAATGCATCCGTAATTCCGTATAGAAGTCTAGAACTTATTAACAAAATACGTTATTAAAAATTCCCATGACCATGATTTGATGACTGAAACTTGTACCTCTAGAATGAAGATCCACACAGTAATTCAGAAAATCGAGAATAACTAAAAGCACATAACCAGCCAAAAATCATTGACTTTCAAGTTCAGCCCATGATTAATTCTATGTAATAATGTAAGAGTTATATTTCATCCCTGTCAAATGAAAAATTAAAATAGGCTGCGTCACGAATGTCATGGACGCTCTCTCATTCAAAAATAGTAAAAAAGCTAAAAAAACGTGAGATGCTTGTTATGTGACACCCTTAGTCCCGATTGGAGGTAAATAAAATCAATTTTGATTGAGTTTATTGATTAAAATAAATTAATTTTGGATTAAGTTACTTAAGTGGATGATTAAGTGAGAATTTGAGTTTTTATTTAAATAGTATTTTAAAATATAATATTAAAAATGTAAAAGTATACGAGATGTTATTTGAAATGATAAGAAGTTAAAATCACATAAGAATATGAATAGTAAAATAAAATTAATGTGAAATGCATGGATGATTGATAGATATTTAATTATATTGATAATTTTGATGTGAATTGTGTTGAAATAAAATATGACTTGAATTTAAGTTAATTAGTGTACAAAAATATTCCATCAGTCAAACAGATAATATCTTGTAGTTAATCACACCTTTGAAAGTCCAGCGGCGAATCCAAAAATTTCAATGAGCAAAGGCAAAAATTGTTGAATTTTTTTTAACCATATTGCACAAAGTATTATTATTAATAATTAAATAAATTGTTTGAGCAATCCGAAGTTGAGGGCTTTCCTATTCAATTTGTCTTTGACTTAATGCTAAAAAGTGAAATTGAGAATGAGGTCTGATTATTTTATTTTTTGTTTTTATTATTATTAAGAAATCTACCAAAAATATTTTACATGTTTTTCTTTTTTTTAATAAGTTATTAATAAGTCATTTGAGATATAATTTATTAATTTCAGAAAAAGGCATAAATATCATCATTTTTGTTTGTGTTATTTAATAAATATTCCTTATGTATTCTTATATATAAATGTAGAATTCTTCCACTATCAACTTTCACCGCTTTTTAATACTATATTTTTAATATTTTAGGATTCGAAATAACCCATATAAATATTGATACTTATAAAAAACTTTCAATTTTAAACACTTGGCTAACTTAAATGGTAAATATATTTTAAAAGTTAATAACACTCAAATATGTTATTATTTTTTTTTTATATATAATAATTAAATTAGTCATATTTTGACAATATATAATTTGACATTCATGTTGTATATATAAATTAAAATAATTATATCTATCTGATCTCTATAAATAAAAAAATAATATTTATCAATTATAATTGAAAAAA